CCAACACTCTGGATGAGCTTAAGGCCGCTATCGAAGCATCCTGGGCCTCCATAACACCTCAGCAGTGCCACAGGCTGATTGCCTCCATGCCACGCTGCACTGAAGCACTCATTTCTGCAAAATGATTCCCCACCAAGTATTGAGTGCATAACTGAACATAATTATTTGAAGGTTGACTTTTTTTGTATTAAAAACGCTTTTCTTTTATTGGTCGGATGAAATATGCTAATTTTTTGAGATAGGGATTTTTGATTTTTCTTTACTTTTTTGCCAAAATCATCAATATTAAAACAATAAAAGGCTTGAACTACTTCAGTTGGTGTGCAATGAATCTAAATTATATGAAAATTTAATGTTTACCAGTACATTACAGAAAATAATGAACTTTAGCACAATATGATAATTTTTTGAGGACCTGTATTTCCTCAGATTTCTGTAACATGAGGCCATCGGAGCTGATGGAGCTCACTGAGTCTCCTGTAAAGATACAGGAAGTAGATCGATTATCAGCCCTTGTTGTGCTGCAGCAGCAACTTCTTGGACATTTCCCACATAAGTGTTTGTTTTAAAACCTAAATACAGTTTGATATACTGCATGTTTAAAATGTTAAAACTGAAACCTGGACAGTAAACAAGTCATTTGATTTTGACTCACTCTGCGGAACATTTTTCAGATTGTTGCAAAACGCTTCTTGTCAGTGAGGAAATATCAAAAGTTATCAATTTAAACTTTTTAGATTTTCTGTAAAAAGTTAATTAAAATGGAACACTGTGTTTCAGGGCACTTGGATATGACGGGCTCCTACAGGTGGAACACGGCTACAATAGTGGCTGGCATGAGTGTCATGTAAGCTGAAACCCTGCTTTTAATTTATGCCCAGCCTTCCTTTGTTTGTTTTTGAACTGAACCCTTTGTGCCGCGTTTTCTTTTTTAGTTTGCTGATTCTGATAGTTCTGAATCTGGGCCTGTTCTTCAAGCTTTGGGCCATGGAGGATGTGGCTCATCGTGTGCTCCTGAGCACGAAGCATCGGCTGAAGGATCGACTGGAGGCCAGGTCAGATGCTGTGAGATTCACCTGTCTGACCGGTTGATACGGTCGCTCTGAAAGCAAAAGTGTAGTTGTGGGAGGAGAGGAGGCAAAAGTATCGGTCCACTTTTTTTCTTGTCTGGTATAGAAGCAGCCTACATACGAAAAGAGTTCCTGCRCTAATGACTCACCATGTAGAATGGCTTTTTTCCCTGCCTCAGTGTGGTTGTGTAAGAGGAATCTTGCATCAGATATCATCTTACGCTTTTTTTTGCTGTGTTCATGCAGCGACTGCAACCTTACCCGTCTTTTTGTTCACAGCTTCACGCCTGAATTCGGTCCCAAACCGGGACAGAGTTTCAGGTCCAGTGAGGACGCACGCCTGCTGAAGACTGTACTGCAGGACTCCATTAATCTGTTGGAACAGGTGGGACAGATCCACAAATCCACAGCTTTCATCAACCAATCATAACATTGTCCACTTACTGTAGCTCTTACATTTTGGCAGAAGTACCATCAACTAGTCAGGACAGAAGTAATGGTTCTGTGGCAWTTCTGGTACCAAACTGACATCCATATAAATGCTTTTAATGAAAGTTTTACCAACAGAAAACTGTTTCAAGATGAGGGTTTCAGTCAGTGGTCATAATGTTATGGTTGGTCAGTAATTTGATCCTAACAGTAAAAACAGCTATTCCATGGTAAACTAAGATTTTAATTTTCTGGAGAAGATGGATTTTGCAAAAGTTTTAAAACGAGTATCTTACATGTTGTGGATGGTGCTTTGAATTGAACTCATTTTGGAGAAGATTGATGAGCTAATGGCTAGTCCTGGCCTCACTCAGACTAGCTGATGGCTCGTCAATCCTGTCATCGGTGATCTTTACTCATGATGTCACGCATACTTGCATAATCTGCTGCTCTTGCAAGTGGTCCCAATGATCTACAAGCAGCATAGATTTAATGGTGTTTTGTCACATGTGACTTTGGGAAATACAGGAAGGTTCAGTTGAAACGTTGTCTGGAGGGTTGAGGTTGACAGATTTGGAAAACAAGGGGAATTGTTGAAGCTTGATGTTTTTTACCGGTGTCTTCTAACTTAGCTTGCTGTATTTATTTTATAGTTGATTTATTAATTTTTTTAAAGCACTGTTGCCAACTCCTCAGTAAGAAAAGTAGCTGTTGGCTCTCCTAGAACTTGCTAAATTTCATCTAATTAGCATATTTGGACCTTTGCCAATAACTGTTATCAAGGCTGTATGACAAATGTATAGCAGAGGAGAAAGGTACAACACTTTGTTCGTAACTGCAAAAGAACTCAATTTTGACTTTAATGCTTAGATCCACTTTACATAAATRAATTTAACCAACAGACTGTTAGRCGTCACAGAGGTGGATGAGGTGATGACTTGACTGTAAGTCAAATGCAGTCTGGTCAGTTTTATTTTAGTAAGTGTTAGTCTTTTTCCTCAGATAAAATGTATGGTGCAGACGTTAAGTCCATGGTTGCAATGTTTTCCCAATCAAATCCAACTGTTCACTTTAGCTTGGGCAAAGTGACAAAAAAACCTCCTTCCATGTGGGGATGATGGCTGTATCCTGAGTCAGTGTTGCGTAWACTGTAGCCCAATGTTTTGTGGTCCTCCTGGTGGAGTATGATGCTGTTTTTTCAGAATTTGTTTAAATTGAAACAGCTAGGCCAGCACACTGATTGAAGCTAATTGTTACCAGAGTTTGTATGTGCACCATGTTGAGTGGACWTTCATATGTAGTGTTGTAAAAATAGCCTGAGTGGAGGTCCCCATTCAACATTCTCCAAAATTAAAGTGCTAACGACGGGTAAGATATTTATTGTTCAGAGTACACGCTTAAAAAGATATGAACTTTGTTTATAGCAGGTTTGCTAACTATGCTAAACTGAATTTGACTTGACAGTTTTGTTTATAATATCTCCCTGCTCAAATGGGTTGTTCTTTTTAAGCTTCRGAAATCTCCTTTGACAAATGTTGTAAATCCTAAAAGAGTTTCTTGTTCTCTGCAGCTCCGTAACTCCTTGCTGGTGCTCCAGCAGAACTTTGCTTTGGCCAATCGAACAGCAGCACATCACGGAGTTTAACCACACGGGGTCG